TCCGGAGACGTCGTAGAAAACAACCGAACGCTTTGACTTGAACTATGAACTCCTTGAGTCTGAAGATGTCGTTATCGCAGTAGCAGCAGTCATGACAAAACATGTGGTGATAACAAATCTCATGTTATCTTATCAATCAGCTAACACCTTGCACGTAGAGACTTGTGAAGATAACTTGAACCATCTAGCCATTTGAAAACTTTCCCATTATTAAACAATTGTGTTTTTGAAGAACATTAAAGTATAATGTCGAAAGCAGACTTTATTCCTAAGTCCGGAGAACTGAACCCAGTTATTAGCAAATCTTCACTAAAAGATACCCACATTCGCTTAGAACCGAACGACTTAACCTAATGTTATCTAAAAAAACTCGATAAAGTCATAATCAGTGGCATAAGGTAGATCAAAACCATATCACAAGATTGGCTGAGAGACAGGCGAAACGAAGGACCCGTATGGTGTGGTGGTGGACGCGTTACTCCCCGGAAAGGACAATAGCGCGTTCGTTCCCCACCATAGACACCTGCGGTCCAGAGTTTTGCAAATATCTCAGCAACGTTGTGGTTGTATTTCGCTTAGTAACCTGCCATGCAAATTATAGAAGGCAGAAAACAAAACGTTGAACGCGTTAGTCCCGCAAAGGGTAATACTGCGTTCGTTCCCCACCGCGGGAACTCGAGGTCCAGAGATTTGGAAATATATCAGCACCACTGTAGTTCTACCACATATAATATCCTGCCGTGAAAAACTGTAACAGGCTGTAAATAAAAAGTTAAGAAACAATAATATTTGGATAACCAGAAGAGCTGACGGGTTGAGAAAACGATCGGCTGGATTAGGGAAAATCCTTTGTTCTATCCCTCTATAGCTATAAATGGTATATCTAATACTGTCTACTGTTTAATACGTTACTAGTGCCATCATACAATCATACTACTGTCAGCTAATAGTGAGCAGAAGGTTTTCTCGAACTCAATCCCTAATTTAAAAAGTCGCCCACTAAGATGATAGAACGCGGCCGAGCAACGTCACCAGCAATACGTTTATTCAAGTTATAGAATTTCGTCAATCCTCTAAGATCACTTGCTATCCTTCTATGATATCATGAACAACACAGAGCACCTGCTTTGAAGCTGATTTGCTCTGGATGAGAAGAAATGAAGTACGAAATGCCCATTTCAAGTCAGGATTTCAACCTACATCAGTTATACGACCACGGCTAATTTTTTGCTGAACGACATAAATGAAATTCGATGAATAACACACAAGAGGCAGGCAACATGAATACAGGAGGTGCAACTCAGACTACGACGGAAATCTTTAAAGAATTTGGCTGGTTAACCATTAGAGAAATGTTCTTTCATGGAAAATTTGTGACGAATCGATGAAGACAAGTAGTTGAGAACCACTATGAAACGCAGTTATTACGTTTCACGCTGAATTTCTCACAAAGGGCTGATCAATCGATACCGTTGCTGGCTGGGATGAGAGTCAGCGCTCCTTTATTTCATCGGCGAACACGATCAATCCATTATCAGGTAGTAATAACCTTTCAGTGAAGATCCATCTCAGATATTTCTAATGATCTGTGTAGGAAAATCGATTAAGAAGAATATCTGACATTCGTGACCTAATCGATAACAGAGGTATTTGCTCTTTACTATAATGCATATATGTATGTAAATGCATATACAGTGATTATTGATTTTTGCATTCTTTGTTCTTTGTGGTGAAATATTTGGTAAAGTTAGTGATTTTACACTGTTCGTGCTTGACAGATAGAAGTGACAAGTGAACAAATGTCAATAACGGTCTAGGTATTGATTAGAATCCATTTTGATTAAATGAGAACGAACACGATTTCAGTCTTCAAAATGATATTTTCTGTGGAGAAAAAAAGAGAAGAAAAGTGATCTCTACGCTTCTTCGTTGGTTCTGTTTAGCTTTGACGCGAATCTCTTTGCTAATCGATAGTGGGATAAGTTGACCTTGAACACGTATTGAACCAGATCACATGCGAATGAGAACTGAGTGCTATCGCAGTCCGACAGGATTCATCTGTATGATCAGAAGAAAGAAATCGTCCAAGATTGGACTGCCATAAGACGACGAAGGTCCATCAAAAACCACACAGGAATGAAAGCTTCCAGAAATTTCAGTGATGAACTTTGAATTAAGGTTCCATCGATAATTGTGTTAAGAAATTCGCTTTTTCTCTTTTGTTATTCACTCGTCTTAACCTAGAAGCCGATCGAATATAGATATCGTCAAGGATCTGGACGGCTATTAACGTAAGCGATCTAATTCTTTTTAAAAATACTCCTAACGATGTCCGCTCACATGAAGAAATTTTGATGAATTCATTAGCACTTGATGTTATAAAAATGACTAAAAGCAATTTTATACTGAATACGCTCACTACAAAAGCATCGAGAAATACCACCCGTTAATATAATTAGCATGGAATCACTAGAAAGTACGGAATGTGAACGGTGGTGCGAAAATCGATAGATCGATATCAACAATCCATTCGGTTTTCGATTGATCGCTGATTTACATCTCTTACGTTGATGTCGATTTGTACGTGACCTTCTGATTCTTCGGCGAATCCGTGAAAACAACGACACCTGAAATGTCTAAGTTTCACGTACGACTGATTTCGAAAGTCTGCTCTGAAGCTGAGCTTCTCTTAGAAACTAATTTTACTTGAATATGTGCTCTTCATTGCTTAGAACTGCTTCAAGATGTTTGATATAGCGAATGGCCAGCCGTAATGTGTCGACTTTAGAGATGCGTTTTTCTCTAGAAATCAGCATTTAGAAAAATGTCGATGTAGTAAGTTTTACTTACTAGTCATTCGACCGATATTTCTTTCTTCTGCATGAAATCTTTTCAATACTTCTAACGCTTCTCAGCACAGAAGACAATCTGTGAACGCATGAGAAAATGACGTAATCTGATCAATACATATACTTCACATTACTCTCACAATACGCGCCAATGTTATGATTGATGTTGCTTGAACAATAATTGAATACCGTTGTGAATAATATAGCACAGATGAGGATCTGAAGCATTGTGGAGAGACATTTCTGCAAGACTTTAGAACTTGTCGAGATCGAAAATATTTTTGTTGATTTCTGCTCTAAACACTTTTAATGTTTACTTTACATTTTTGCGCTATAGTAGAATCGGCACTGGGAAACACAACTTCTGTCGTATGAAAACAGCTACTGTTCTTATAAAATACTTAAAAACAATAAATAGAATAAAGTAAAACTACCATCTCTAACTTACACATCTGACACTGGCAAGTGTTTGCGAAGCGTCTCGTAGCCGTTGTTCACACATCGAACTCGATAGCGTTCACGTTCATTGCGCTTCCAAACCGATGTACTATATGGTCTAAGCAGATTAGTCTAGTTAAATAAGAAACGCAATCTTTAGATAATAAACTGGCAACAAGAGTTCCCCCGCCTTCCGTTTGTCATAATGATTTAAAAATGCTATTTACATACATCGAATCGACAGCCGACAAAGTGTTAGGTGCTCAATAATCCCTTAGAGATGCGCCATACACTCAACTCTTTTAAGCACTGCAGTGTCACTGAATGCATATTTGGCCTACATAATGGGTAACGTGAGTTTAACGATGTGTCAAATCAGGCTTTTTAATTCCCACAGAGAAGTATGGTACCAATTTGCCCACGTTCGTGGAATGTGAAGTGTTGCCGGCGTAGGGAACAGAGTCGGACCTACTAGCACGTGTGGGCATTATAGCGACCCCTATCTACTGCACTGCATAAGCCTTCCACTAAACAAGTAGAGAAAAAGAGAATGAAAAACGAGTAATATAAGTAAGATGCAGTTCTTTGTCGAAGCATTAAAATCACCACTTTCGAATAGTTTTTGGTTGTTCTCCTTTTATGCTTTACTTCCTTACCGTAGCAAGAGGATGTACCGCAGTGGTTCCCAGGATCGACTTTCTATTAACCTCGTCATTGGAATATGAATGTGTCGTTTTCTTGTTCAGCAATCGCGAGGTTTTTAAACAGCATACATTTACTTCCATAAAAAACACAATGTTGGAATATGAATGTGTCGTTTTCTTGTTCAGCAATCGCGAGGTTTTTAAACAGCATACATTTACTTCCATAGAAAAACACAATACAATACAACGCTAGCTGACGGATTCGGCAGTATCGCCTTCTTCAGAGCCTGGAAGGGTATACTGATATACAATCTACAAGGCCAAACGCTTCAATAACACTTACAAAAAGACGAAAAACAGGTGACAAAGTGGTATCGAAAGCCAAGTAACAAGAGCATTCTTGTTCATTTCCATTCTTCCCACCCTTCACACACAAAGAGAACGATTGTGAGAAACATGTTTCGAACAGCCATCTCTGTGTGCACTACCAGGGAACTAAAGGAAGAGTCGCGCGACTTGGCTCGGCAAATAGCCATCTCCAATGGCTACGAAATAGTAACCCCACGAGATAAGTTTACAAGGAGAACGACGTGCCCACGCGAAACACTTGGCCAAAAGAAAACCCCGTTTATGTTGCCTTTTATAAGCGATGAAGTAAGCGCAGCTATAAAACGATGCTTAAGAAGGGCAGGTCTAGAGGAATCGGTAGCGATAGTTGAAATACCACCGACTACTCTACGTCGCCAATTAGTTCGCAACCTCATGTATGACCGTCTGTGTGAAACAACAAATTGCGTAATTTGCCCTTACGGCAGGGACGGTGGTTGCATGAGTTCAGGTACGATATACCTGATATCTTGTAAAAATTGCGCAGATGAATATATTGGTGAAACGGGCAGACCTTTTTGTATCCGTATAAAAGAACACCTAGATGGCAAACGAAAAGTAAGGCGAAGCACCCACTAGGCACGCATAGGATACAAAAGCATAGCGGAGACAATTTTAAAGTAAAAGTCAATATCCTTGCACAGAAGTCTAAAACAGCAGCGCGAAAACTTCTTGAGGCTTTTTGGATCAATGCCAAAAACCCTACAATGAATAGCAGGGACGAATGCCCGGAGGTCATACGCGACCTGATCCGACCTGATCCCGTACGTTCGCATCGATTTTTGATGTGGGATGGTGCAGTCGTCAACCACATGCGACTATAATCAGCTGTTCTAAACTTCCTCATTGGAAGTCACAAAAAAAGCGGTGGGTTTTTCGAGAAGTCGTTGATCGTGTAATTACCAAAGAGTCTTTCGTCTTTGTGTAAGTGTTATTGAAGCGTTTGGCCTAGTAGATTGTATATCAGCATACCCTTCCAGGCTCTGAAGAAGGCGACACTGCCGAATCCGTTAGCTAGCGTTGTATTGTATTGTGTTTTTCTATGGAAGTAAATGTATGCTGTTTAAAAACCTCGCGATTGCTGAACAAGAAAACGACACATTCATACCGCGGTGGTGTTGAACAGCGATCTACAGTGGATTCATCACTCAGCAGAGTCTCTCAAGATGAGAACGAGCTGGACATCTCCATTAGCAAGTGCAGAGGGACGTTAACGAATGCCAGGAATTATCGCAGTTTTGGAAGCAAAACAGATGACAAGGTTGCAGATCTCCCTCTACTTCCAAAAGATGCTTGGTGGTTTGAATTTTACTTTGTTTCTTATGAAAGTAAGGTGTTCCTAAAACGTTTTAGTTGCTGTGCATAGGCTCTTGCTGGGATCATTACCAGTACTTAGATGTGAATCTTAGACTTCCTTCTATCTGTATAATAAATAGTTTCGTCAACAGACCTAGTTTTTCCTATAACATTCTTTATAGCTTTGTTTCTCGCCCATTTTTCCACATTAATAAAATATTAAATGAGATCAAACACACTTTACATGACCTCTGGTCGGATTCCAGCACTTCTTGCATTCAAATCCTTTCTTCGCATCCAGCATCCAAGGAGGTCTTCGAGCTTTTCCGTATGGATTCGGCTGCTGGTTGAGGATTTTCGTCTTCGTTGTTGATGTTGGTTAAGTTGATCAAGTCCATTCCCCCTGGATTCTAGGGCTTTCCAGGTGGATTAAAACGAGTGGGCTGGATGCAAAGTCTAGCACCAATTTCCCGACCATGAAGGAATGGAAGGTCCAGTGGGACCGATATGGGGTCTAACTAAACTGCGATTGTAGAAGCGGCATTATTACCAGTGTGCTACTAGCCCATTAAAACATTAAAGCTTCATATATCGAAGACAGCAAAATAAAGGGTCGACTCACTGTTCATCTAGTTGATAGGGTAAAGGCACGCTCGCTTCTGGATCGAAAGGATCGATGATTTTCCGTTTAGAAGCTGAACAAATAGTTACCATTACTTTCTGTTTTGCTCTGTTTCGCTATCCTACATATTAATCATGCTATCGAAGTTTGGCAGGAAAAAAATCATATCCTTTACAAAATCAGTGTCAGCAACCTAAGCACTATCATACCGGAATTGCAGTTGAAAGAGAGAAGAGACTGACTATCTTGACGATTGCGACCATCCGTGATGTTAAAATGTAAAATACGGAATAAATACAAAGATAGCAGAACTGTCTTGTCATAAAGGAGAGGAAATCCATGACATGTCCAACTGTAGCTCAGCGTGCCTTCCGTTCATCTACTACAAGCTATTCATTCGAGTTATTGTCAACAACACAGACACAACAATGCAGGAAGAACAGCCATGGTAGCAAGCAGGACTTCGCGAAACGTTCACCGCCCTGTGTCATATACATTTACTAACGAAACTTATTGGAGAGTCTCGAAAGTGCAAGATGTCACATTGTCCCACATTCATCAATTTAAAGATGGCCTCCAGTCTTGTTGATACTACGGCAGCTGTCATGGATGTCTTGGACAACCAGAGTATCCTTGCTAGATATAAGGAGCTCCCTGTACAACAATATCTGAGCCATATTTTCTAAGTGTTCAATAACATTATTATCGGGAAATACTTACTTTGACACTTTGATAGCCAGTGCTCATCGGTTGTGTGGGCCCCAGCACAATCTCCATTTTTTCGGAGAATTGCTGATTTCACCATTGTGGTTCCTTGGAGCCCCGAGGTCAGCTTGACCAAAGTCTGCCACCAGGTCGTTACCACCGCCTTTGTGGATCAGAGGGAGATTTTCCACCATGCGATAGTTTGGTACCAGGACGGTGATGGATCCTGGTATTAGTTTACTCTTATCTGGGTTTCCTGAAAGAAACACCGGACTCCTTCTCAATTTGGGAGGCCCTGCTAGGGGATGAATACCTCCGCTGTACATCGCAGCCCGACACCCAGGAACACAGGAACACCTCTCAGCCACGATGAGGTGGTAAACCGTTGGGAGCTATCGGAGTGTAAAGAGATAGAAAAGCGACAACATCTTGGCGAAATTACTTAAAAGATCTGCGCTATCGCCTCTTCACTGGCAATGCTCTTCGCTTTTATGATAACGCGCATAAAAAGAATAGCTCTTTGCCGGAATCCAAGGAGCAAGGTGTTCATGAGAAATAGATTCGTTTCTGGTGCCTTATTGATGCTCTACGAAAAGAATATCTCAGAATGCTACAATTATGTAGGTCTCGAACAGAAGTTGATATGATGGACGTTCGACTTTAAGAGACCTTGTAATAGAATCAGGAATATAGAACAAAGAACACAATAAGCTAGAGAGCCAAGCTTCTTCAACTTTACCGTTCTTCGTTATAATAAAAGCAACAGAGAGAGAATCCGAAACTCTGGTGAGAAAAATAAAACTCCTCCTGTGTCTCGTTCGAGCAGAATACGATTCGAAACCTCCGCATGTGATAGGGAGGAATGGCGACGTTACTGTCACCCACTTGATTCACCAAACGTCAGGAGTACGAATAATAATAAAACAAAGATAAGCTTCTTGGCGTTGATCAATCCCTGAGCGATACGCCATGCATAAGATTTCATTAAGCACTGTTAGAGGTGACTGAAGGCATATCTCGCCTTTAAAATGACTTGCAGTGGCCTACCGATGTATCGAACCAGTGCTGCTACCCTCTCAGATAAGTCTGGTACCAATTTGCCGACCTCGAGGGGAGAGAAGGCTTGGTTGGCCATGGGTAGGGGGACCGATCCCATGTGTATTGCAGAGTGCTTCTGATCAGTGCGCTACACGCGCCTCGTGCCGTACAGATGATATAAGTGATTACCATCGTATAACAGTTTCTATGGAACCAAACGGATATGGAACTCCTCATAAAATCCAATTACTATCATTTTTGTTACCACTTTTCAACCAGTAGAAGTGCAACGTAGCAATAAAGTCATCTTAGTCAGAAATTAGGAATTAATACCTGGTTGTTCAGTTTCTTTTGCTTGTTTTGCTGGTATGGAGAAAAGGCTGCCGTTGTAGAGGCTAAACGTCGGTGTCGTGATGAATGCCATTCCCTTAAAAGAAAGTAAATACTTCGTTAAGTTTGTTTCTTGACTACTTTGAGATGGAATACCACGTATGGAGCGGCGAGTGACCTCCACAAGTATCTCTAATTTCAGCAGCTTCCACCTAAGATGGAAACAAACAGATAAATCAACGAGGAGACCAGAACTATGATGATAACCCATTTCGATCATCTATTAAGAAAAAGCTGTTCTAAACGAACACCACTGACGGTGTACACTTGAAACCGCAACGATGTTTAATACGTATGGGGCACGATGCTGCTTGCAAACATATGCCTTGAAATCAATGCACACTGCAGCGAATGTGTTGCACACATATAAAGTCAATATTTGGAATCGTTACACTTCTTGTTGGGAAGGATTTGTCCTGGCAACCACTACTGCATTTTCGGACACTCTCTCAACATTGTTTTTAACTGTAATTCGCCGGGTAAATATGATTTACTTATGCCGTCACTTCTTCCTTACATATATTACTGGATGTTATATTAATGGATGTGGTTGAACACTTACTTTAGTTCCATTTTCAAAGCAACGCAAATCTTTAATTCCTACTGTCGAACCGATTTCTCGGTAGGTTTCTTATCCCTTTCAAATTACCTAAGTGAAAAATTTGCCTTCATTCATCCATAACTGCCACTGATCTAACAGAAATTACGATATCGACGGCAGATATCGATTAAAATGCCGTATTTAACAGTTGTAACGACTATCTTAATATTCTACCTTAACAGATGGAGCACTAGCTCAAGAAAAGCGAAATATGCGACGATTACTTACCTAAGCCAGGTGAGCTCTGGGTGACCGTTCACGTATGTGAGATATGTGCGACTGTCACAGTTTGATGGAGCGATAGCCCAACCACCACCTCGATCCGAATACGGTAGTGCTGCTGTTCAAACAATGGACAAGCAGCACCATATCGAATCACCATCACAACACTGCGGTTCATCACAAAGCTGTTGACGATGGTACGGATTACTAGTGGGTATTGACAGATATCGAATGTAACAAATCGCTCGACGACTAGGAAAATGACAGATAGAAGTATAATCCGTTCTTCTCCAACAAATTTGGGACGGGTGGCCATGCATTATATTCCATTTGTAATATTGTAGATGCGATTTTATGCATATCTCGTCTACTCGGATTGCAAACCAATGCATCGCGTCGTGAGGGTTTTGATCCTATGAGATATCTCTTGCACCAATTTGCCGGCGCCTGAGTCAGTGGGAGGTTGCTTAGAGAGTACGGAATCGAACCAAGGACGTTGTGCGTATTGCTAGGCACCCCACTACAGATGCACTCCGTCAGGTGGAATATAGACAGCTTTCGAGTCTTGTTTCAAAAACGAACAAAAATCTGCATACGAACAAGTATTTACATGGCCTTTAATGGTAAAAAGAATAAGAAAAGACTCCCAAAAACCAACTTTCCTTCAACCTTGGCATGAAAAATCAACATTTTTCTGGATGATTAGGGTACTATGAGGTTGTTATAAGTATTTATTCAGGTTAGCTTAATCATCGAAAAAAATGTTCATTATTTATTAAACCCGGTGAAGAAAAGTCGATTTTTAGAAACACTGTTACGCCATGTGCCAGATCCTCCCAACGGTTTACCGCCTCATCGTGGCTGGTAGGTGCTCCTGGGTGTCGAGCTGTGATGTACAACGGGGGATTCATCCCCCTGGCAGGGTCTTCCAAGTTGAGAAGGAGTCCGGCGTTTCCACCAGGCAGCCTAGCAAAGAGTAAACCGATACCAGGATCCACCACCGTCCTGGTATCAAAGTAGTCGCATGGTGGCAAATCTCTCTCTGATCTACATAGGCTGCGGCTGCCTGTGGTGGTGACGACGTGGACCAGACTTTGGCCAGTTTGACCTCAGAATTCCAGGGAACCACAATGGCTAAACCTGAAAATCTCCTAAAAATGGAGATTATGCTGGAGCCCACACAACCAGTGAGGACGGGCCATCCAGGTATCCGAGTATGTGCCAGATAACAATAACACCGACTTCTGCAGGATGCATTGCCACTATGGAAGCAGGTCAACAGAACACAATGGATGACAGCAGATCACCAGCCGTCGTGCAGGGAAGGACCTCACCTAGTGAAGGTACTTCACTCAAACGGTACTACATTCCTATCTATTCGACTCAGTGCGATAACGAACGCCCACATCGCGACGCCGGCCAGCTGTGAGTCATCGGCTCGGATCAGCGCTGTTCTGAAGAAGGCGAAAGCACCGATAGCCGAAGGAAAGTCTCATAACATCGTGTTAGTCTATTCATTTAGGAAAACAAGAGGTTTTTTTTCACTTTTTTCACTCAACATAAAGCCGATGCTACATTTTGGGCAGATCTCTGCACTTCTTTCATTAGATTCATTTTTCGCATCTACCATTTAAGAGGCTCTTCGGAATTACATGAAATCCGTATGTCAACCTTTGTAGATAGTTGGAGCTTCTCACACAACGCTGGCCACAATTTCTCGATCCAGCGAGATTGCAGGTTTGGTCGCCCTACGGTGTGAGTCGAGCCATGAGCTTTGCGCGTGTCATTGAACGATATCTCTACCAGTGCACTTCCCGCTCCTCACTAGAAAACAGTAGAAATATGAACCAAAAGAAAGAACAAATTGAAATTAATAATATGCTGAAGACGTGAATGGGATATATTTAGGTTGGATTCAGGACGGATTTCTAGTGTTCTAGTGTATGGAAATAACATGCTAAACTCCCTCGAGCGTACTACTGCATGAACTGTTTTCTTATAGTGGCTTTGTTTTTTTTTAATTCTCAATGGAACTAATTGTGTTATTTCTTTTCTATTAAGTGGGCTTTCTTTTCCCCAGTATTCTTAGTAATTTCTCTTCTTCGAATAATAAGCAAGAGAGTGGACAGAGTAGTAGTAGTGCGGTTCAATACGCGCACGGCCCGACCTACCCAGCTGCTAATTCGACTCTTCCCAGAACCCAGAAAACTCTCATCCTTCTGGATAGAGAGATTACTGCCAAACTTCTCTGGAAGAAGCCCACTCAATGTGATTGTCCCTAGAATGACTTTCTCAGGATTCCAGGAAGACTCGACTCAACCAGCATTCTATGACACTCTCAATGAAGCGTTCCAGCCTTTCGGTGTCGCCATAATTGATGCAATACTTATCTGAGCAACGCTCTCTCTGATCCAGAAAGGACGGCGAATGCCCGTGCTGAAGACCTGGGAACGCTCTGACACAGCTGTTTCACAATTTCGAAGAGACCTACTCGACCAACGCTCAAGACCATTTGTGAAGAAGAGCAAATGATTAGGCAGTCGAAGCGATCCACAAAATCTGAAAACTTTTTTGGATGAGGGATGTAAGAAAACGAATCTAATCAAAGAGTAGTTGGGCTCCGCACTGTATGTGTTCTCCAGCCATTCGAAGAGTTCAGATCTTTTTTCCTCAGATCTATCTTAAAGAACGAGAAAAACTTGTCATATTTCATTTACCAAGCCCATAGTAAGCTCGATAATTTACGATTATATGATGTCGCCATAGGATGACGGTATTGTCGTGATAGCTAATCGCCTTTCTATGTGTTAGTACCATAAGCCACAATAAATGAGGCGCCGTCACATCAAGGTCGGCCCCAGGCAATTTGCTAATGTTATGGTCCTGACCTTTCTATATAAAGCAACAGCAAACAAAGACGGCGAATCATCGAATAGCGACTCATCGAATAGCGATGATTTTCAAGTGGGTTGATGTGCATTTGTTTTTTGTAATTCTTGCCATTTTCCCTAGTTTTTCCCGAGTTGATCATTTAGGATTCTGTTAGTTGCTGCTCTCTATGCCTTTGCCTTCGGCTATCCTCTTCGAGAAGGATGTGGATGCGAATGTTGTTGCCCTCAAGAAGATCCAACAACAACGACCACAACCACCATGGCTCCAGATGGTTAGCGTAGAACGATTGAAAGCAATGTTATATAATTCCTCTGCTCCTCATTTATACAAAATCCTCATAGCGTTGTTGGTTGTAGAACCGCTTTGCTGCGATTGTTGCCCACCTCCAACCCAAACCGAACCATCTACGACCACTACTACTACACCTGCGCCAGGTATTATTTAACAAATGCTTTCCGTATTTATAATAATGACCCTAAAACTCAACAAGAATGTGGATGCGGAGACATTTGCGCACAAACTGCGCAAGAACGCCGTGACTGGAGGTAGTTAACGCAGAACGTCTGAAAACCGTGTTATCTAATTGTTCAGCTTTTTAATTCTGCAAAATTCCAACAATATTGCTTGTTGCAGAACCGTTATGTTGCTGCTGTTGCCCACCTCCAACCCAAACCGAACCACCTACGACCACTACCACTACACCTGCTTCAGGTATTATTGAACAAATATTCTCCGTATCTCATAACAATGAAGATGAAGTAGCCCAGTGGATATTGGTGCAGTCCATAAGGAAGCAAGGTGCTGATTCAACCCATGCCCCTCCACGCTCTTCACCAATTCAACGTCTTGGCTATCTCCGAGACTGCGAGGAGAGCAACTCGACCAGCATTTTACGAACTTCATAAAGAATATAGAATATTCAAGCAGCAGCCGGAACAACACGGTAAATGTACGAAAACGTCTGTAAATGATGAAAACGAGGAAAACTAATCGAATGCGAGAGGTGCTGGAACCTGGACAATAGATGTGATGAAGGGTCATGTAAATAAAAATAAATAAACATTTCATGACAATAACCATAAAATTCAACAAGAATGTTGATGTGGAGACTGTTGCTTTCAAATTCCTCAAGGGGATTCAACAACAATCACCATAATGGCCGTGGCTGCAGATGGTTAGCGGACAACGTTTGAAAACCATGTTATCTAGTCCTTTAGCTTTTTATTTCAACAAAACGCCAACAATATTGTTTGTTGTAGAACCGCCTTGTTGCGTCTGTTGTCCACCACCACTCCAGGCTGAACCACCAACAACTACTACTGGTTTGTTCAATTGCAAGTGTTTTTATGTGAAAGAAGTAAAATCCAGCTTTCTGAAAGATTTCCAGAAAGAAAAACCACTTTCAGAAAGTCCATGCCGTGATGAAGGTCAGGTGTCAACAACACCAAAACCTGTGCCACTCAATGGACCAAAACTATTAAAGGTACTTGAAAAGACATAAGGCAAAGTTGTAAAAGTTTATCTTCTTCCGACCGTCAGAATTTTTTTTATAAAATAAATAGTATTTTCAGTGCCCGCCCGGCTTTAAGCGTATTGATATGTCATGTTACTATGTTGAAAAGGAGCAGATGGTCTTTCATCAAGCAGCAATGAATTGTGTTAACATGGGTGCTCAACTGTTTGTGCCTCAGGATATCTCCGAATGGGTTAGTGGCTGTATTTTTTCTCCCTTTTTTTTTAGCTAAAGAGCACATGTGGGCATATTGTTCATTGTTCTTCATTAAGAAGTCACATAAAGCACAATGGCTAGCGGTAACCCGTAACAAAAACCCGAAAAAACGCCGTCGATCGCGCGCTCTTCATAAATTAATTTGGCCATCCCTCTGTTAGTAAATTGACAAAAAACTTCTCTAGGAGGATGAAGAAGCTTACAAGATGCATCTATTGACCTATGCAAGTTGTTATAAAGGGTAAATATGCACTCAATCACTTCGGCGATTCTACGAATAGTTTTAAATACATGGCGGATCTCTGAGGAATTGGTGATCACCAAGTGCTTTATCCTTTGTAATTTACTAGCGTTATGATGAACACACCTATGAGAATGCCTAACTCTTCCCTGCGCTTAAAATGCATTGAACTCAACACGTGTGGTTCGAAATAACCAGCGATATTGCATGTGTCCGCTGTTTGTAACATAAACAATGAATCGTCGTAAAATAACTAATAAACTTGTACCATTCTAGTGCTTTAGAAAGCGCAATATCTAAAGGGTAGCTTTTCTCAGCCTGCTCTATAAAAAATAGAAAAGAAGAATATGAAGTATAGCTACTATAGTAGAGAAGCTATGATGAACCTGATACAAAAGGCACCGTTGAGGAACCTGGTAGACAAAAGAAACGTTTGCAAAGAAAATGCATCGAAATCAATGCTTCCGGCATAGAAAGGATTGCCTGAATTCAACTGAATTTGCACATCTCAACAAATTTCCAGAATGGAGTGATGGCTCTTGCTCCACCTAATTTTTGGACATGGACTGGACTTGTGAAGAAACGAGAGTCCCAGGACCCAGAATGGAATGGAATGGTGCAATCTATGGATGCCTCATTGGTGTATGTGTTATCCGATAAATTCGATAATCGTATGATTCTTAGTGGACCTCCACACCCAAAATTCCACTCGTGTTCTGCATTCAGGCCTTGGCTCGTGAAACCGTACTCGCCGCTTGCCAACGGTTGGACAGAGTTCTCGCAATGCGCTGCGTACTACAACGTTGGCGTCGAATCATCTAGCTACGTTTACTTCTATCTATGTGGAAGTTCATTCTACTCAATCTGCGAAACAAGCCTCCTACAGTAATAATGAATTTCGCCCTCTCTGACATCGATGTTTTTTTTCTTCTTTTGCAACTGCATAATTTGTAATTGCAAGTGGTACTACAATAAAGTGAAAAATAAACATGCAAAGATGAACTAACATCTTAGGTCAAAGAAATAGAGTCACTGAGAAAATCGACACGTTGAGGACCTTACCGTGCCGCAATTTAGTAGCTGTGTGAAGTCTTACGAGAAAACGTGTGGCATGCGCATTCAACGACGATTTCCCGCGTGACCAGCGAATTGAAATCAGTTCACGTCGGCTGATGAAACTCTCATGCATAGAAGGAGATCAAATCACGTCTAAACATAATGCTTGTAGAGAATAAATGATAAATGGTAAAAGATACAATAAAAGATTAGAAAATGGCTACATTACAAAGTGGTACCGAAAGCCAAGTAGTAAAAACATCCTGGTTCATTACCTCTCCTCTCACCCCTCTCACACGAAAAGGGCGTTTATAAGAAACATGTTTCGGACAGCAACCAACGTGTGCACGGGAAGAGAGCAGAGAGAGGAGTCCCGGAACCGGCAAATAGCCATTTCTAGTGGCTACGAAACTGTAGCTCAGGATAGGTGTAGGGGAAATCCTAGGCTTTCAAACGACAACTCTAGCGATAAAAAAGTCCCATTTATCCTACCTTTCATTTCAAATGATGTAAGTGCAGCTATAAAACGCTGCTTAAGAAGGGAGGATCTAGAGAATTCGGTAAACGTAGTTGAAATGCCACCGAGTACTCTTAGGCGCCAGCTAGTTCGTAGCCGCCTATATGACCGCCTATGTGCAATGCAAAATTGCATAATTTGCCCTAATGGTAGAGACGGTGATTGGATGAGCTCGGGTATAGTTTATCTGAACACCTGTAAGAAGTGAGGAGACGAATACATTGGCGAAACGGGCAGCCCCCTCTGTGTCCGCATAAAAGAACACCTAGCCGGCAAACGTAGACCAAATACCCCGCTAGGCACGCATAGGACCCAGAGACATAACGGGGAGGACTTTGAAGTGTGTGTCACGATCCTCGCACAGGAATCCAGAACACAAGCACGCAAAACTCTAGAGGCACTCTGGATTAATTCCAGAAATCCGAAAATGAACCGCAAGGAAGAATGCCTCATTATCGCGCGTGATGTAGGGCAGTATATAAGATTGCTATTCTGATGGGAAGGGCACATTATACTTCCATGTGATTTCTGTGCGGTTGGTCTTCACGCGACATACTTAGTGGAAACCTCATAGAGAGGGGTGAGTGTGCAAAGCTATGTTCAGTGTGATTGAAATCTTGGTTTAGAGTTTCTCTGTTTGGTTATGGAGGCGTCTGGCCGAGTAGATTGCTATCAACTTGACCTTTCCAGGCTCTGAGGAAGGCGAAATCCGCCGAAACGTCAGCTCATTCGTGAATAAAGAATAATAACACCTCGCGTTTGCTCAACAAAAATACGAAGAATGGTAAAAGAGACATGCATTAAATAGAATGAACATCTGCTATAAAAATGTAATCAAGTCAGAATTGCACTTTCGAGCAATAAGAATTGAAATGTTCCGACTTCATTTCGAGCATAACTGACAGAATGAGAGGTGCTTTGGTCCATTTTTCTGGATGCAGAATGAATAACGGACCGCATACGACAGCTCTTGTAATGTATCTTCGCTTTTTAATTAAAGTAATAACCAATAAAATCTACTCGAAGTTGTAAACAAGAAAGGTGAGTAGTGCAGTGGTAGTGATGCCGTTCATTACGAGTACGACGCTGGTTCGGCCCTATTTCCCACGAAGCCTTTCACTATCGGGGATCGCGAAATTGGTATCAGACATGTCTGAGAATCAATTCACTTCTTCCAGTCCAGAAGGAACGCTCCTTGTCCAGGACGTCCCAGGAATCCAGGCAGAATAGACTTAATCGACATTCAGCAACATTCAGAACAATGACGAATGTTCTTGGGCAGCAGTCGAAAACACGGATAAAGTTGGAAGAGCGTGGATTATGTACACAAGGAAACGAATCGAGTGCAGGTCCTGAGATCTGCGTAGTAGATGTGAAGATGGGTCCTGTGAAATAATAACAAAAGATTGTCAACAAGATACAATTTTATTCATAGTCCACAGCTTAGATTATAAGTTCTGTTTTTTGAAAATATTTAGAAATGCTGCCATAGTGGTCCTTAAAGTTTGAACCGATAATGAGAAATTACACGATTTTTGGACGGATTTGTGCTAGCTGATAATAACACCGACTTCTGCACGATGTCCGCAACGATGTATGCCCGGAAGAAATACAAGCTGTTACCACCGGACATTACCATTATATATCCACCATCAGCATCGTGTATAAAAGGTCATCACTGAGTGAGGATGCCTCATTCGATTCGAGAAGATGGCTCACTGAGGAAGACCTGGCTCGGCACGAAGGCGAAGCTGCAACGTCGAGACGAACAACAATCATGGACCATCGACTCGGACCATCGGCTCTGAGGAAGACGAAGACGTCGAAACGTTAGCCGAAAATAAATATATTTATCAACCTCGTGCAAGCTTATCAAGAAAGAATACATATTGGACGGATTATTTAAGCTAACTCAAAATCGTTCCAAATTACGTTTGAGAAGAACTATTGGAAGGTAAACTGTGAGGGAAAGAAGAAACGAGTTCTAGAATGGTAAACACAATGCGGCGAGTGTAGCCCATTGGTTAGAGGTGTCCTGAAATACATCTGGGTTCGACCCCAGGCCCCAGTCTCACCAATCCTTCCATCCTTCCGGTGTCGCTAAATTGGTACCAGAGCTGTCTGGAAGGATAGCAGCACTGACTCGATGCATCGGTTCGCCACCGCGAGTCACTTTATGGGCTAGCTATGCATTCAATCATCTACAACGATGCTTGATGAAGTTGAATGCATGGCGCGTCCCTTAGGGATAGGAGCTTTACCCTTTATCCTTTTGTACAGCATTCATGTCAATACATATTTGTTGCAGAAACTGGTTGTAAAACAAAAAATCCATTATTTTCGCAAGTATTTTGAGGAGTCAAGAGAAAAATATAAACCTTGATGTTGTTGTAGAGTGGTCAAATTCTTGTTGTACAATTCCTGAATAGCCCAAAAAAGATCTTTCCCTACTAAGGATGGATGCCGTCGTGGTTGCCTATGAAGGAGGCAGGCAACAGAAGGAAATTTGGGGATAGTTTCCAATGTAGCATAGATCGATCTACTGAAACAACAATAGAGTCCCGCTGGCTTCTCATTGACTACAATCCTCTAAATTCTTACGAGTAAACTGTGAGAACCTCAACTATTATGTAGGTGAGAATTCGCTTCTAATGACTGACTTTGTTCAGAAAAGGTGTTGAACGGTTCGTCTCCTACGAGCTAAAATATACAGGACTTCGAAACGGAGATGTACTAGGATGAAATAGCTATTCCCAGCAATAAAGTTTGAACACAGTTTTGCATATTGAACAGACCTTAATAGAAGTCATTTTCGCTACAGTTTTCGACCCGATTCAAATACGAAGACCGAAATTTCGTGAGAAATAACTGCTCTGAATGATGTACTGAAGTCGGAAGGTACTGAAAAAACCCGTAGCCCGAAGTGTTGGCTATCATGCAGTTTTGGAACGATCTGAAGTAGGGGTGAAAGTAAAGCAGTAGTTAAAAGTGCCTTACGATTCACGTGGTCGTCTTTGCTTCGATTACATGACTCGAGATAGCCAAAACAGGTGTATCCCTTCGGAGTTAGCAAATAGGCACGTGATCTGTTTTGGAGGATAAGAACATGAACTTGATACTTCAATGGGTAGGTCACCTATCGTCCAAATACGCATTCAGTTATCCCTATGAGGCTTAGTGGTGGCGAGTTCGTGGCGTACCCTTAAGAGATTGAGCGCTTCATTCATTTTGATTTAGCAAACTGGTGTAAGCTTTCCAATTAACGGAGATATGACTCACACCGTTCACTGTTTCGCATCTTTCAGGTACGAGTCATATATCACTCAAAACAATCTTTTTCAACGTTTTCACGTTTTCAAACAAACGCTTTCAAACAAAAAAAATCTCTAGTTCGCAAGATTATTCAGCCAGACACGGCTTCGGTCACCATATAAACCAACTCCAGCAAAGAATTTGGAAGCCAGTAAGTGCTTCTATTAAAATATGTAATATATTAGAAAGCCTAAGGGCCTAAGAACTTAGAACTCAAAGTGAAGAGAAGAGGTCCACTAACATCTTCCGCTACCAGAATCCTGGCACGTTGAGTCTTTTCTGGTAGATCAATTGAAATGACAGAAAAACACAACGTTTCGACCTATTGATTTCTTGCGAAACCCCACAAGTAAGTTACAGTGGATGAGGATAGTTGTTTCAGGGTAGTGTACACAAAATTTTAATGTCTCCATCTTCTTCTTTCGTTTTATTCCTATTAATTCTTCTTCTGGTCGTCATCAGAAGAAGATCTGACCCGTCTTTCGAAATTGTCGGAAATTGGCACCGGACTTTCTCTTGAGAGAACACGAGGTACATAATGTCTGGTGTTCTTTTGTTGTTCTTTTTCAAAACATAGATCCTAGCATATCTCCATTCTACATTCATATTATTTATCATTCATATTTATATTATTGTTCTTATTCATATCTACATTCTGAGCGGCGCGTGTAGCGCAATGGTCAGAGACGCCCTGTGACGCACACATGGGACCGATTCCTGTGCTCTAAGCTCACCGAGCCTTCTATCTCTCCGGGATCGGCAGTTTGGTGTCAGACTTGTCCGGAAGGATGGTAGCACTGGCTCGGTGCATCGGTAGCTTCCGCGAGTAAATTGTAGAGGCCGGATATGCATTCAATCACCTCGAACGATGCCACGAATGGATGACGGAGGAGAATAGAGAGGAGTGCATGACGCGTCCCTCAGGGAATGATCAACGCCAAGTGCTTTTAGCTTTCATCTACATTCTAGCATAGCACTCTCGTACCTTCATATCCCGGAAACTGTAGCAGTACTCAAGTCACTTAAGCTCTTTTTAGATCTGCGAACTGATTTGCATCGAGCTCGTAAGCAGTGGGAATCGGTTTTAATCTGATTTTAGAAAAGATCCGCATTTATTTAAACGATCTGTCGATTCTTCTCGTTGAGATAGCCGTGTCCGTTAATCTCTCTCTTTATTCATCATGTCATCATCGGTTTTCCTCTTCTCGTTTCTGCCGAATTTTTACAAATTTGAATTTCAGTAGAGAAGAAGATGTGCTGTCAGTGTTGCCAATTCTTCTGCGCATTCATCGCTCCAGTAAGTTGTAACCTCATCGACTCCATGGCCGCCTTTATTTCTTACTGCAAAACCAATTTAAAAACTTATCACAGGTATCTCGAGACGAAGGCTGCTGTAATTTCGTTTACAAACATTTGCCTTTAAAAGAAGGAATCAGTCGAATACAGTGATAAAGATACTTATGATGTGTTTAGAAATCACTTCTTGTATGCACAACTGCAGTACCAAATATGTAATATAGGTTCTTTATATAATATAGATACTTACTTAGTTGGATACTTGGATGGCCCATCCTCACTGGTTGTGTGGGCCCCAGCATAATATCCATTTTTTTTCGGAGTTTTGCTGGTTTAGCCATTGTGGTTCCCTGGAGTCCAGAGGTCAGCCAGGCCAAAGTTTGCCCCAGGTCGTTACTACCACAGGCAGTCGCCGCCTTTATTGATCAGAGGGAGATTTGCCACCATGCACTAGCTCGATACCAGGACGGTTGTGAATCCTGGTATTGATTTACTCTTAACTGGGCTTCCTGGTGGAAAGCTGGACTCCTTCCCAGCCTGGGAGACCCTGCCGAGAGGATGACTATCCCGCTGTACATCGCAGTCCGACACCCAACAACATCATCCAGCCACGATGAGGCGGTAAGCCGTTGAGAGAGTGAAGTGGTAAGTCCTTAATAATTTCCGAATCAAATACTTTGGAATCTTAGACGTCCAGCATGTGTTTATATTCTTGACTTTACACGAGGCTAGTAAATAAGCATTACTGGGCCTCGACGTCTTCGTCTTCCTCAGGGCCGGTGATCAAGTTAATGGTCCGCCGTTTCTCTTACTCTCGATGTGGTGTTTTTGAAGTCTTAGATGTTTAGTTTGGGCTTTCTTAACTTCTTCAGCTTCTTGTTTTCAGCCCCTAGCTGTCATGTGCCACTCCGGATGTACACGATCGTTCTTCATCAATGTCGTTCTCACGTTGCTCGGATTTCTTCCTGGTGTTGTGCATGCGATTTTTGTGATCTGTAGTGAGAAAGAGAAGAGCTTCAAAGTAACGACAAATGTAGGTTTTATTGACAGTACTTTTAATATTAGCAAAAAGTGCAACCTTCAGCAGAACATAGTCTTTTCCTTTACTTAAAGCATTTTTGTCTGTAAGCAAAAGTGCAAGTTTCAACAGGATGCATTCTGTTTTCAAGTTACATCCATACCTATTAAGATATTTCGTTTGACATTAGTTAACATTTCCTAGTATTTGGTGTCATTTTGAAGCGTGGTTTGGAAATGGTCGTTGTGACGTCGGAGAGGGGACGGGAAGGGAGTGGAGGGCGAGAGGGCGAAGGGGGGATGGGTGGGGGCTGGAGTTGAAGTGTGAGCCAAAAGCGGCTATATCTATTTGTATAGAAACGAAGCTAGGCTCAGTTCCCCAATCTCTCCTATGATGGATGGACCTATAATATCCATCCAGATGCATGAAGACATCAGGCCTGATTGCCTGGATGTACTTGTCCCTTATGCAAACTCTATTACACATGTCGATTTGTCATGAACTTTGCGATTAAATAACTAGTAGGTTAATTGGTGACAGTTCTGAATCGGCTCCAACAGATGAGCCCTAGGTTTACTCAGTTGTAGATTTGCAAAGAAAATTTTATTAAAGAGTTAATCAAGAGCGTAAAATCCTCTTCATAGTTAAAGTGAAAACGAAATACGACGGACGAAATAATGAGAACTATTGCTTAAATGAAGTTAGTCAGCTTTTCTTCAAACACCTATTTCATTTTGCTGTCACGAACTAATTCCTTTATTTCATTTTTTGAAGGACTTATCTAATTTAGGTAAATGTAGTGTCACCACAGGTGATCCCTATGTATCAGCCGGTTCAGCCTCCACCGGCACCTGCATATTATCCAGCAGCACCCCCACCTCCGCCCGTCTACTATTCAGATGCTGTCCAAAAGTTTTAGGCGGCTTGTGTTTCCGATTAGTTCTGGCAAGTTTAATTGGTGAACTACATGAACTGCAGCATCTGAGAGAGAGAAAGCAAGGTTTTTTGAGACTATAAGCACGACATCTGTTATAGAAAACCTTTGTCGATCTTTTAATGTTGTAATTAGTCATAGTACTTACTCTCTTTATATATAAAATACATTATATACAGATATGTTGTAGATTTGCCTCTTAACACTGCCTTTATAACTGTATAATAAAGTTTTAGACATTTTTAATCTTGTCAGAAGCAGTTCCTCCCAACGCTCTACCGCTTCTTCGTGGCTAAGAGGTGTTCCTGGGTGTAGGGCTGCGATGTACAGCGGTGGGATTCGTTCCCCGGCAAGGTCTCCCAAGCTGGAGTCCAGCGTTTCCATCAGGAAGTTCAGCTAAGAGTAAACCAATGGAAGGGTCCACCACCGTCCTGGTATGAAACTATTCGTACGGTGGCAAATCTCCGTCCGATCTACAGAGGCCGGCGATTGCTTGTGGTGGTGACGACCGGGGGCAGACTTTGGCCAAGCTGACCTCGAGACTCTAGGGAACCACAATAGCTATATCATCGAAACTCCGAAAGAACGGAAATTATGCTGGGTACGCACAATCAGTAAAAACGGGCCATCCAATTATCCAAGTAGGTAAGTTAGAAGCACTTCCATCGCATAGAACAGTCAGTTTCCGAAGAACACTAACTCTTGTAACCAATTCATTTGAAAAGTAAGATAGTGTCCTTGTGTCTCTAAGACGCACAGGGAGCACCAATACGTACAGAAATGACATTCCAAAGGATTCTATTTTTCTATGTTCATGAGCTTTACTAGACTCTATTTATGTCAACCGTTTCATACTTTTCTTGGATCTTCAGCAGTTTCTGAATATTAAGTTAATCAAAATGGAGCGAGTGCACAGCGTGCTGTACTTCCTATTGTAAAAGTGTGACTAGTTGTTTCTACTAGAGTTGATCTTAAGTACGGTTATAGATACTATGATTGTTGCGAACAATGTAGTATCGACATGGACTGTGATAGACTCGCGTGTCGCTGCTAAACACCACTGAGGGGACGCATTGGTTTCGATACGTAGTGGTTAATTACCTTTCGTACCAACGCAATATAGCAGGGAATGCCACTCATAAGGGCATTTTGATGGTGTATGGTTAGAAGTGTCCTGCAATACACACTTCCTCGTTCGTTCGATCACATGCTCAGGACCCACCAATTCTTGCACTTCCTCGGTGTTGGAAAATTGGAACCCGTCTAGGGGAATAGTGGGAGTGACTTGGTCCATCGCCACCACAAGTCGTTGTAAATACCAGATATGTACTAAACTATCTTTAACGATGTTTCTTGAAGTCGAATGCATGGTGCATCCCTCAGAGATTGATAAACGCCGAACGTTTTACCTTTTCAAAGTATTAAATGTTCTTCGAGTAGTACAACGGACAATCTGCATTGATCTCAATGCAACCCGCACTCGACGAAAGACTGGGCATCGAGTCGTGATGCAGACGACGAAAATTGGATCTTGTGAACATATTCGTCAATACTTTATTGAACTCAATTGTCCATTGTGCCTGCTAGACCAAGTACATCAAGCACTACACAATCAAAGTTCTGTTGTTGTTTTCGGTTTTGCGCTATCGGGTCAGTACTCATTCGTCGCCAGTCCCACATATTTCTAATTCTGGCACGGAATATTTTAAGCATCTGTAGTATTCTTGTCAGTACAGATATCACTGTGTCTTGTCTCTCTCCACTAGCAATCTCTGACTTGAATAACGAAATCTACCAAAGAACAATTCTTGTGCATTATCAAGTGTACCAAGCTTTCCTTCGGCTACGCGTAGCATAGCATCTGCAGTACGGAAGTAATGTATTTAACACAAAACGTGTGGCAGAGATGAAACTCTGTGAGGCAGAAGGAATCACTGGAAAGAAAATGTATTAGAGTTAATGCGTATTCCCCATTGTCCCTAACCGCCATTATATGTACACTGTCATGACTACGTCAACGGATTTAAGCCTTCACTCCTAAATCTCATCAGAAGGTGTTTCATTAGATTTCACTGAAAGATCTCATAAGTGTCATGGGCTGCACAGACACTTCATTACCATCAATATACATATGTATTAGCGAAATATAGCATAATAAGACAAAGCAATGTGGACAAGAGAAATCAAACATGAAGAAGAGTATTGTGCATATCAAGAACGTATCAAATCAATACGGTGATCGACTAATTTACAAGAACAATGTGATAAGTTTACGAATCTCCTGCAGTATCATTACCACAAAGACAGTTCATTCATATCTTCGCTGTTGAACATTTTGAAATAGGCGAAAAGTGAGCCAAAACTTATAGTATTAGCCATATAAATCAACACCAATGATGACCCGGCGATCTAAACATGGACCATATGAGATATTTTGTGGTCACAGAGTGTCCTAATGACAGTAAGCATAAAATTGCACCGTTTAATTTACTTGGGGTTTCAGCACGAAGATTTGAGAACTAGCGTGAAATAAGGCTTGTTTCCCTTGTTGAGCATAAAGCAAGCAAAGAACTTCCGGATAAAACCTGACGCTCATAACTTTTCATTTTACCCTCAAACTCTATATAGTGCTTAACCTTTAGTACCCAGGCAAAATCCGACTGTTTAGAAGCATCTCTACATCTCTATGAAAACGTATAGCTACTTTTTTCTTAACCGTTTTCAATTTTCTATTGACTCAAAAAACCACAAAAACAACTTAACCAATCGAAAAAGAGATGAAAACACGTTACTGAAACACAGATATTGCTAAAAATGTGCCTCGAAGCTGGAGGTCATTTGGGAAAGGAGGTATAAAGTACAAGTAAGCATGCAAAATGACCAACAGGTTTTCTGTCATGCAAGACTAAATTGGTACTCCGCATCATTCCAGCTTACGTGCATAGTCATTTGTACTATTTCTATTGCATTATTATAACATACTTACTAAATTTTCAAGGACTGCAAGAAATTCTGTCACAGTCGACGGACGACGCACAAACATATACATCTAGAACAACGTCTGACTCCAACTTCCAGAATCCTCGTCGCGGTGTAGGTAGAAGTATCCGAGAATAGTAAGGAACATCACAACGGATCCCGTGTTCACCAACAACATCGCATTAAACTTGATCTACAACACAACATACAGAAATTAGATTGATAGGTAAACTTCGATTCAAGTCAGAATCAGCTCCAAGAAAAGAAAACTAGACAGCACTCTGAATTATGTGTCATCCTTCTACTTTCCTTACTAAGAAACTCACAAATCATAGACGACCGGATGAACAATTTCACTTCCAAAAAATTAGACTTTCATCTACAAACCGCTCATGAACATCAGTAGGTTATTCATAAAACTATGCTGAATTCCCCCTTGTTCATCTTACTGACGATGAAAATGTTTTATCTATAAATGACGATTTCCTAACAACTATCCTGTTTTTGAAGCTGCTTGAAAACCAAAGACTTAGATTTATTGATCAGATTCCATTATATTGCTTCAAGACTGATTTTTAAAATGTCTTTGGTTTAAGTTTGCATAGATCCAAATTTTTAAAAAGCGAAAAAACCCAAACATGGAAGATCCTGACGCAAACACACTTCACCTATGCGTTCAGTAAACTATGATAAGATTTTTTCGTTACATGATGGCAAACCACGACTTTGTTTGAAAACAGTGTGTAAACTCTAACAGCTTTGATTCCGATTAGTAAGACCTATAATTTGTTTGTTTAAATTCCGGTGGCTTAAATTATTTAAGCCACGTATACACTAAAATTACTACTTAATATCACTAATATGTTAGAAACAAAAAGGGACTAAGATATGCTAGCACCTGGATAAGCCACTTCCAGAGGTGTGAATAAAGACAGCAACAACCTTCAAATAATAAACCAGATGTCCCATCTACCGATAGCACGCATTCAGCATCGTGTTAGCTTTTATTTAAACATTCGTTGAGTCTTAAAAGCGCTCAAGTTAGCAATAAATAGCTCGCAAACCACTAAATCCTATTGCGAAAACCAAAATTAGGATTAGGACCGCCGACACTGGTAACGCTTAGGCGAAATTTCACAAGACCTCGTCAACGGATTAATGACCTATCGCATCAGATATTCTTAACTAAATTCACTTATCATTGTAAACCGACCCTCATTTAACTTCGCTATAAATGATCAAAGCACCTTTCATTGATATACTAGCACGAGGTCGTTACCAATATTTGATCAGCTAACATATCACAACTATCAGTAACAACAATCCTGTATATAACAGCATCTCCTGGTGAGGTTGTCTCATTCGAGCGGTACTCCATTAAAGATGATCCGGCTCAATACGACAACACAACATACCACCACATCGAGAAGACAAACGATCGCGGACATCGACTTCCATCACCGGCTCTGAGGAAGACGAAGAAGCGTTAACCGAATAGATATTGGTAACTACCTCGTCTTAGCTTATCAATGAGACAAGGTACATTAACCTCACTTATTCTACAATATGCAGAATGGTGAAATTTCGACATTTGCAAACACAATGAGACAGTTTATTGAGAGGGCGTGCACAGCAATAGTAAACAGGGAATTTTAAATCTTCAACGACCTACCAACGGAAATTTGGAAGTCATTTGGATGTGAACAAAATCAAAATATACTACGATTGAAGTTTGGACATGCAAAATAGATCGTAGACGTGCAACACAACTCGAAATGTAGCAAACTAGGGAAATGGCTGGTATATCGAACGGTGAAGATCTTTAAGATAAGGTCTCCACACGCAATTTTGAGACAAGGCAAAAAACGTAAAGGCACTCTGGATTTTTCAAGAACAGTATTCCCACCAAAACTAACAACAAAATTTTTGTTCTCGATGAACTATGTTGCGAGGTTGTATAATCGTTTATAGAAGATCGAAGCAACTACTACAGTCTCAGCTTAACTGGGTTCCATCCCGATTTGTGCTCCTCAGAACAATTCTTCTGATGGGCGATTGCTGATAGCAGCGTTACGTAGGAAACTAGCTGAGAGGAACGCAGAACAAGGGCTTCTGTGATGGACTGTGTAATGCGCGAGACCCCGGAAAGGTATATCGTTGTTCGATCTGGCCCTGGGTCTGAGTTTTGCGAATATCTCAGCATCGTTCATGGAGCCATTTACTTTATAATCATATGAACGCCCTGATTATCATCATATCGTAAAAATTAAATCGCTTAACAAGTACAATTGGCAAGTAAAATTGGAGGAAATTATAACAAAAAAAGTGACTTACAGTGCCGGCGTGAGCAAGAACAGTTGGAAGAGCGAAAGCTGATACGACAATAGCAGTGGTGATAAACAACGCTAACTCAATACAGGCGTTTGTTCCTGAAACCCCAGAAAAAGAAACTGGTTACAACAAAGCCAAAATGTCTAGTGAAAACTACTCTAACCAGAGATGTCTTCCTGAAAATGTCGGGCTATCATCAGAGGAATCGGAGCAAAGATGTAAAAAGCAATGACAAACATCGGTGACCAATTTCTAGAAAAACAGAAGTACAACATCTATTATTTATCTTTACTGCTATCTACTACGAGCCGTACACAATAGAATAACTTAAGGAGAAAAGTAACCATGCTATTACGTACCCAAACATTGGAAGAGCACAACCCAACACAAGTAATGTAAGTCCAAGAACACCGGCAAATGCGAGAGCCGCTACTGCTAAGATTACACCCATTAGAATGAACAACCATCTCTACTGAGGTTTGCGATAAACAAACTTTTGATAAAGATTTGAATGAAACGCCAAACATCAGAAACACTTTAAAACAGCACACACCTCGTACTCCTCCCATAATTCTGATAATCTGTATTCAAAAAGTGCAGTGAAAGTAGGAAACCAGTCTGAAAAGTCACGATAGATTTCTTAACATTTAGGAATCCTCTAAATAATATTCAAAGCATAAAACGAAAATCAAATCAACCACAAGAAACAGACGCGACAAAGATAAATTATGCACTATAAGCCGTAGGGTTATATAACTCACGCCATATTCTTCTACGTAGTTTTAGAAAGGGATCGGACAGACTTTGGACCACACAATCCTAATGATGACTCCAGCAGAGTAGAATAACTGACCAACAGACAGTAAAACCACTAAGATTACCTACTATATCACAGATTACAATAACAGTTTTCCTACAACAACTTGCTGCTAGTTTCAGAAGATTCCAAGCATCTTGCTCTACATATGAAAGCTTTATAAGACTCAAAAAACTAACAATAATAAAGCATGAACAACAAAATTCGCTGAGAAACTGGACATTGGTAAGACGTCGCAACGCGACGTCGCTCACGACAAGAGGTGGGCTCATCCGTACGGGAGGTCTGTCCACTGGGCGCTTTTCTATAATAAAAGTGCTTTCCGGTAATAGAGAGGTTTCTGTCTCAAAAATAAAGTACTCGACAACTTCTAGATCATCAAAAACACAATTTATTAAAAGAATAACAGTTTCATAGGTAATCATAACATAACAATCACAGAAATCTAACAGGATATCCCAATAAAACAGCTTAAGCAACAATCAGTGTCCAATGAAGAACTCGTAGTTTGTTCGTTGACATATAGCAATACACTTCATGAGTTCGTGGAACGATCCATAAAGTTCGAAATTTTGTGAAATAGATGATGGGACCGTCACTTGTTAACGTGCAGAACTTACAGACTTCTTCGATAACAAAATTAAACAGACTGTTCATTGATTTGATTCACAATACATTATATAGCCCTTTCAATTGTTGACAAATGTTAATGACATAAGTTTCCTGGAAAGAAGGACTTTAAGTAATACATGAAACAAGTGGTGTAATGAATCAATGTGGTAGCGCAAAATACGAAAAACGAAAACAGCAAAACCACAACTGGAAGGACGCCTTCTACGAAAACAATGAAGTCTTTGGGCTATTCAGTACTTAGAACGGTACTAATTGAATGTTCAACATGAAACAACTGTTTGTAAAGACAGAAAGACAGCAAGACATTGGCCATCAAATTTCACAAATAGTACAAGATCGGCAAGTAAGAAAATAAATCCCATAGGAAACAAATGCTAAGGTAATAGAATGCTTGAAAAGTACTACTACTGCCATCTACAAAACTTTTTTGGAGTTTGATGACGTGATGAAGAACCTCCTTTGCCCTTCACCGGTGAACCGATGACACCAGCAGGATGCTCTGGCCGGTCTGCACCTTTGGGTGATGAATTCGCCATACATTCATTAGTTATTTGCTTAACAACAGTTGACACCAATACAGATTTACGAGCTATGAAAAACTGTGATGGCTACTATAATGCTGAGATATTTGCAAAACTCTGCACCGCAGGTGTTTACGGTGAAGAACGAACACGCTATTGTCCTTTTCGAGGAGTAACGCGTTCACCACCACACCATGTGCGTCCTTCGTTTCGCCTGTCTCTCAGCTAGTTCTATCGATCTTTTGCCATCAGCAATCACCCGTCAACGGAAATAGAAGGTTAAGATTGTGATTAAAACTATAGCCTCAACTTAACTGGGTTCAATGGCGATTTGGGCCCCCCAGATCAATCTGGGTGACGGGTGATTGCTGATGGTAAAAGATCGATAAAACTAGCTGAGAGACAGGCGAAACGAAGGACCAGTATGGTGTGGTGGTGAACGCGTTACTCCCTGAAAAGGACAATAGCGTGTTCGTTCTTCACCGCAGACACCTGCAGTCCAGAGTTTTGCAAATATCTCAGTATTATAGCAGTTATGTTTCGGAAAATACCCTGCCGTTAAAAAGAATAGGCAGTAAATAAAAAGGTTAAGATTGTTATGGCTACCTACTGAAGATGTCGTCAATTGCATAGCAATGTTTCAACTTAAAACCTACAGCAACTGGGCTGTTCCAAATCTCTTTCATAACACTATTTGGTTGAATCGCATCCAGTAGAGCACGCAAACGGCGTTCGGCAGCAACTAGCTAGAAGAAGTCAATTTTACTTGCTTAACTAAAAAACTTTATTTGATAAACTTTAGTTTGATAGTAAACAAGCACCACTAGAAACTTTTCTAAAAACGAATTTACCTTGCCCTCTGGTTTTACATCATCTTCGCACAACTCTATCTGACTTGGTTGAGTTGAGCTATCCTTAAAAACTACTATTAAGTATGAAGTATGCTTAATTTAGTTAACAAAATAACGATCAGCGAGGAATGTCATTGAAATAGTACTGTAGAAATCAATAGATTTCGAAAATAATTGACATTTCTCACTGTACACTCAAATTTCCACGAATTTCCTCCATAGCAGGATCCAATGCCGGTTAGCCGCGAGGCAACGTGGCGCATCTTCATCTGGACGATAGGGAATTAATACTAGATCAAAAGCGATCTCTAGCTTCCTTTCAAGGCAGGTGGACCCAGAGGATCGACTCCCTGTTTCTGGTGCCGCGATTTGATACATATCTTCCGTGTTTACGCATACATCATGTGTTACACGTCAGGGATTCGCGCCATGCATTTTGTTCCTTCAAATTGTATTCTACAGGGCAGTTCGCCAGAAACTTGCAACCAATCGATTGGGAAGTATGTAGGAGGTGGTTACTGGTCTCCTAGAACAAATAAGCTTCCTATCCACTGTGGAAAAGATAGATAAGCCACCCGCAAGCGTGTCCAGTATACTAGTTCAGAAATGATCAAGCTATATGTGCTTTAAAGGCTAAACACAGTAAAACAAGTGGACTTCATTCCCCTTGCCATGAAAGAGTCCTCGATACGGGAGCGTAGTGTACGACTAATAGTGAGAGGTCGCTAAAATCTAAGGACCATTACAGGCTGCCTAAACTGCAAAGGACTAAGGTGACGATTTGTACCTAAATTACACGCACACTTACATCTGAGTTCTCAATAGAAGAGTTGATCGTGCAAGCAAGAAGAATAAAGTACTACGTTATCGGACTAGACGAAAGGAGACAACGCCAACCATTAAATGCCGTCTCTAACTCCGGAGAAGAACTATTCTTCGGAACATACAACACTGAGGATTCGGTGGCGTCGGCGTTCTCGTGAACACGAGTTTGTCCATGAACATTGATTCATCTGAACAACTTACAACCCGAATTCGACGTTTACGATTAAACAGACGTGGATCAATACCAATACCGGTTTTCACAATCTTCGTCAAATACGCTTACGCACTGACATCAAAGCATGACAATGAAGAAGTTGAAACGTTTTGTGCGAACTTTGAGAAGTTTTACAGAAAAGACCATCCATCCCTTAAGGTCACTATTGGGGACTTTAATGCTATGACTGGATCAAGAACGCTGAAGAACGTCACATTGGGACCCACGGATTAGAGTGGAACGAACAGGGTGAGCGGCTGTCTGAGTTTATCATAACGACTAAGACCATCCATGGTAACTCGCAATTCCAGAAGCCCCACCCTCAACGCTCAACGTGGGAGTCTCCTAATGGAGAGTACCATAACGAAATAGTCCACATCATAGTAAATAGAAGGTTTTGCCTAACCAATGTCGCCGTTGTCCCAAAATTCTACACGAGATCAGACCATTGTCTCCTTCGTACAAGATTCCATTTCTCGCGGAAAGGAGAAAAAGCTGCTAAATTCCAAAACCGAAGTCCCAAAACCACCGGGATTTATTCAATTCATTATTCGGCTGTTAGGAAGACGCTGTTGTCGATAACATCGACGAAGAATACGATCGGCTCATTCAACATGTTCACGTTAGCGCTATGAAAGCTCAGAGTTCGAAAGTCACCAAGAGACGTCTGTCTCCAGAAACACCCGAGCTGATACGCCAGCGTGGAATCGCACGAGCTGAGGGCAACCGCGAACTAACGTCCGAACTTGTAAAACAATGCAGATAGGCGATAAAAGAAGATCTTAAAGAGAGAAGAACATCAG